ATGTCAAAAATATATCAATCTTTCATAGATCACTGTCATTAAAATGTGCAATATACAAAAATTTATAATTTTTTGCACCTTTTTATAAAAAAAAAGATTAAAGTTTAAAGTTTTGAGATAGACTAAGTTTTTAGTATTTAACTGTATCAAAATTCTCCACATTATTAATTAATTACTATATTTTAAATTTCCAAAATATATGTTTTAATTCGAAAAACACGAAAATTTCGGAATGTATGATCATGATTTACATCTTATCTAATGGCACCTCGTAGGATCACTGATATGATACCCCATTCGTTTATAGGGAACTTTTCAATTAACACTTTAAAGAATTAAACATTTTCTTACAATATTAACTTGTACATAGAACAAATTCAATGGGAGTGATAGGTTTGTATGCCTTTAGAAAGCTTGGATCATAACTTGTTGTTTAAAGTTTCAAAAATGACTCTAAATTTTCATTTGTTAGTTGGCTTTTTACCTAAATCTTCCAACTTGCTTTTAAACTTTGACAATTTTCCACAACACAAAGCTTTACTTTTTAAATTGATCAACTGCATTTCTAGAAATCCAATACCAATTTCAAATGGCTCAATGAGGATTTATTCTCAAATGTACAATTGTAGGGGCAAATAAAAGCAAGGAAATGAGCGAAAAGCTAATTGTGTTCTTTCTTTCTCACTCAAAAAGTATTTGTTTTTGTATTGTTCATGCACAGAACGATTAAGCAAAGTTAAAAGTTTTGTATATTGTAGAAACGTTTGCGAAGTGTTTTGTTAGTTTTAATACATTGCTCGTTAATCGATTCGGAAAGATTTTAAAATATGCATACAAATATTTTTTTATAAAATAAATAAAATTTGTGTATGAAACTAAAGAGCCGCAGCTCCACATCCAAAGAGCCGCATTTGGCTCGCGAGCCATAGTTTGCCGACCCCTGGACTAGACTATAGACTAGACTATAGACTAGACTAGACTAGACTATAGACTAGACTATAGACTAGACTATAGACTAGACTATAGACTAGACTATAGACTAGACTATAGACTAGACTATAGACTAGACTATAGACTAGACTATAGACTAGACTATAGACTAGACTATAGACTAGACTATAGACTAGACTATAGACTAGACTATAGACTAGACTATAGACTAGACTATAGACTAGACTATAGACTGACTATAGACTAGACTAAGACTAGACTATAGACTAGACTATAGACTAGACTATAGACTAGACTATAGACTAGACTATAGACTAGACTATAGACTAGACTATAGACTAGACTATAGACTAGACTATAGACTAGACTATAGACTAGACTATAGACTAGACTATAGACTAGACTATAGACTAGACTATAGACTAGACTATAGACTAGACTATAGACTAGACTATAGACTAGACTATAGACTAGACTATAGACTAGACTATAGACTAGACTATAGACTAGACTATAGACTAGACTATAGACTAGACTATAGACTAGACTATAGACTAGACTATAGACTAGACTATAGACTAGACTATAGACTAGACTATAGACTAGACTATAGACTAGACTATAGACTAGACTATAGACTAGACTATAGACTAGACTATAGACTAGACTATAATAGACTATAGACTAGACTATAGACTAGACTATAGACTAGACTATAGACTAGACTATAGACTAGACTATAGACTAGACTATAGAGAGACTATAGACTAGACTATAGACTAGACTATAGACTAGACTAGACTAGACTATAGACTAGACTATAGACTAGACTATAGACTAGACTATAGACTAGACTATAGACTAGACTATAGACTAGACTATAGACTAGACTATAGACTAGACTATAGACTAGACTATAGACTAGACTATAGACTAGACTATAGACTAGACTATAGACTAGACTATAGACTAGACTATAGACTAGACTATAGACTAGACTATAGACTAGACTATAGACTAGACTATAGACTAGACTATAGAATAGACTATAGACTAGACTATAGACTAGACTATAGACTAGACTATAGACTAGACTATAGACTAGACTATAGACTAGACTATAGACTAGACTATAGACTAGACTATAGACTAGACTATAGACTAGACTATAGACTAGACTATAGACTAGACTATAGACTAGACTATAGACTAGACTATAGACTAGACTATAGACTAGACTATAGACTAGACTATAGACTAGACTATAGACTAGACTATAGACTAGACTATAGACTAGACTATAGACTAGACTAGACTATAGTCTAGAACTATAAACTATAGACTAGACTATAGACTAGACTATAGACTAGACTATAGACTAGACTATAGACCAGACTATAGACTAGACTATAGACTAGACTATAGAATAGACTATAGACTAGACTATCACTTTAATGCTCAAAACTGTTTTAAAACAAGTAAGAAAGTATAGTCGGGCGAGGCCGACCATATGATACCCTTCACCAGTTATGAATATTAAATGTGATTTATTTTTCATAGTAAAGCATTTATTTTCAATATTCCCTTGTTCCGATACATTTAAGCAATTTATGGATGAAAAACTAATTTTCTGAAAGAGGCTTTTTATGGGGGCTAGGGGCAAATATGGACCAAGCCCGATAAAATTTTGTGAATATATTTATATTTACATAATATTTTATTGTGCTGAATTTCATCGCGATATTTGTGTTTATAAGTTAATTTGGGACATTCAAGTAATTTTCTGAAGGGGACTTTGTATGGGAGCTAGGGTCAAATGGGGCCCGATCTTTATGAAATTTGGCAGGGTCATCAAGACTTCTATAAAACTTAGTTGTGCCGTATTTTATCGATGTAACTGTATATTTAACATAATTATGAGCTCAGAAGCCCTTTTCGGGGGGTTCTGTTCTATGGGGGCTAGGTGAAATAATGGACCGATTTTAACCATTTTCAATAGGCTTCGTCCTTGGATCAAATAAAACGTGCATGCCAAATTTCATCCAATTATCTTGAAAATTGCGACCTGTACCTTGCGCACAAGGTTTACATGGACAGCCAGCCAGACGGACGGACGGACGGACATAGCTTAATCGACTTAGAAAACGATTCTAAGCCGATTGGTATACTTTAAGGTGGGTCTAGGACGAATATTTTTGTATGTTACAAACATCAGCACAAATCCAATATACCCTCCCCACTAAAGTGGTGTAGGGTATAAATACTAGAAAACGACGAATTCAACATAAACATACAACAAAAATCTCTCTACCGAATTTTATGAGGATCGGTCCATAATTGACCCAATGCCCCATATAGGATGCCCTTCGAAAGAAACAAGTTTAATATGAATCAAAACCTACCCACTAATTTTTATCAGGAACGATCCATAATTATCCCTAACTCCCACAAAAAGTCCACTTCAGAAAATTACTTTAACGCTCATAGCTACCTCAGTAATACTAGAACAGCTACGAAATTCGATATATGTATGTATATAAGTTTAGGGGCCGAAATCTCTCTACTGAACTTTATAACTTTATAACTTTATAACTTTATAACTTTATAACTTTATAACTTTATAACTTTATAACTTTATAACTTTATAACTTTATAACTTTATAACTTTATAACTTTATAACTTTATAACTTTATAACTTTATAACTTTATAACTTTATAACTTTATAACTTTATAACTTTATAACTTTATAACTTTATAACTTTATAACTTTATAACTTTATAACTTTATAACTTTATAACTTTATAACTTTATAATTTTATAACTTTATAACTTTATGACTTTATAACTTTATAAATTTATAACTTTATAACTTTCTGTGAGTCTGTTTAATGAATATTCCTCTAAAGAAACTTTTTATTTTGTTCTATTGACAGCAGCCCCTATTAATTTAACCTAAATAAAAAGTCTTTTCAGAATGAATTAGAAAAGAAAATTTAAATATAAAAGTATTTGACATGCAAATGAATGTTAAACTATTTAAGCATAAAGAAGTCAAGTACATGTGCATTTGCATTTAAATTTTCTATTACATTACAGATGTACATATATATAGATATTAGACTGCTACTAAAATATATTTAAGTGTTAAAGAAGTCGAAGTTAGTCGAATCCCTAAAATCGCCTTTAACATTGTTAACACTTTTAAGTTGTACATTTTCCAAAATAAACTATTTTTTGTTTAAAATCATAATCAAAGCAAAATTACTTGTAATTTCGTAGTTTTCAGTTTACATAATTCTGGATTAGTCTATTGCCTCTATATAACCTTATATACACAACTAATAAACTATTTGTAGGAATGTGAAGTAAACAGCATAGAAAATAATTAATCTCTGGAGGACCGAAAAGAAAATTATTTATTCTTGAAATTGTTAGGAATATATAGAAAAGAGACAAAAGTTGCTAAAAGGATTGTTGGGTCCGGAATTGAAAAAAACAGCGGTTAAATAAAACGATAATGGTATCAAGCTGGCTTTGAAAACTCGTACAATTTCTTCAATGAGCGCTTCTTAGAAGATTAATAAGATACATCATTTCTTTTTCTAATCAAACATGCAATTGCATAATTCATGCATATTTTGCATATACACGCTCCCAAGCATACGTTAAATGAACTGATATTAAAAAAAATAACTGCACAAAGAGAATAGTAAATTTTTTGACATTTCTCCAGATGATTTCTATACGAAAACACATTTAAAATTTTACAATTTGTGGTAGTTAAAGTTGTCTTTTAGTTGTCTCCCTTTATCTCTTTAAATTTCAAGATCTTTTAGTTTGTGTCTTACTCGTTTTGGTGCTCTAGTTTTTGGATGGTTTTATGTAAAACTTAAGGAAGCACATTATTAAAATCATGCAGTGATGTCTGGTACTTAATACGTAAAGGATATAAAATGTGTATTTTAAGGGGAATTCTTTTTTAGGGGGTTAAAGGAAAAATGTGCAAAGAAACAAATAAACAAAACAAAAAGCATGCCATACATTACCATTAGCATAGAGCTCGGTATGACAGATAAATCCACTGCTGGTATTGAAGTTAATAAACCGCTGGGATATTTTTTCATACGACTGGGAAAGAAAGTTGATTCTACACCCTGTTTTTTTTAGTTTTGTTTTTAACGATTTTATTACGAGTTTACAGAGGAGAAGGGTGAGAAGATAGAAAAAGAAATTTTTATTAAATAAAAGTTAAACATAGAATTTTTTTTAAAAAATTTAATTTTAATTAAACAAAATCCTTAATAAATAAACTGCTGGTTTTTTATCAGCAGCTGCATTTTCTCCATTGATCAGTATTTATTTGTTTTCGTTTATAATTTTTTTTTGTTATTTCTGTTTTAATGTATAAATGTTCCCATTTTGTATATTCCTTTTGCGGTTTAAACATTTATTGCCCAGTTTATTTGCCAGTTGGTTTTTTAACTTTTTTTGTTTATATTTTCATATATTTCTTTTTAATCCATTCATACAAATAATACTTCATGTGTGATTTGTAGTTCAAGTGCTTAACAGTAGAGATTAAATAAATGAGCATAGACTAGACTATAGACTAGACTATAGACTAGACTATAGACTAGACTATAGAATAGACTATAGACTAGACTATAGACTAGACTATAGACTAGACTATAGACTAGACTATAGACTAGACTATAGACTAGACTACTATAGACTAGACTATAGACTAGACTATAGACTAGACTATAGACTAGACTATAGACTAGACTATAGACTAGACTATAGACTAGACTATAGACTAGACTATAGACTAGACTATAGACTAGACTATAGACTAGACTATAGACTAGACTATAGACTAGACTATAGACTAGACTATAGACTAGACTATAGACTAGACTATAGACTAGACTATAGACTAGACTATAGACTAGACTATAGACTAGACTATAGACTAGACTATAGACGACTATAGACTAGACTATAGACTAGACTATAGACTAGACTATAGACTAGACTATAGACTAGACTATAGACTAGACTATAGACTAGACTATAGACTAGACTATAGACTAGACTATAGACTAGACTATAGACTAGACTATAGACTAGACTATAGACTAGACTATAGACTAGACTATAGACTAGACTATAGACTAGACTATAGACTAGACTATACTAGACTATAGACTAGACTAGACTAGACTATAGACTAGACTATAGACTAGACTATAGACTAGACTATAGACTAGACTATAGACTAGACTATAGACTAGACTATAGACTAGACTATAGACTAGACTATAGACTAGACTATAGATAGCTATAGACTAGACTATAGACTAGACTATAGACTAGACTATAGACTAGACTATAGACTAGACTATAGACTAGACTATAGACTAGACTATAGACTAGACTAGACTATAGACTAGACTATAGACTAGACTAGACTATAGACTAGACTATAGACTAGACTATAGACTAGACTATAGACTAGACTATAGACTAGACTATAGACTAGACTATAGACTAGACTATAGACTAGACTATAGACTAGACTATAGACTAGACTATAGGACTAGACTATAACTAGACTATAGACTAGACTATAGACTAGACTATAGACTAGACTATAGACTAGAACTATGACTAGACTATAGACTAGACTATAGACTAGACTATAGACTAGACTATAGACTAGACTATAGACTAGACTATAGACTAGACTATAGACTAGACTATAGACTAGACTATAGACTAGACTATAGACTAGACTATAGACTATAGACTAGACTATAGACTAGACTATAGACTAGACTATAGACTAGACTATAGACTAGACTATAGACTAGACTATAGACTAGACTATAGACTAGACTATAGACTAGACTATAGACTAGACTATAGACTAGACTATAGACTAGACTATAGACTAGGCCTAAAGACTACTTATACTATAGACTGAAGACTAGATTACCGACTAAACTATAGACTAGACGATAGACTAGACCATATACTATGCAAGAAAGAATAGACTGTAGACTAGAACACAGATTAGATCTTTTCTAAATACCCACGACGTGATCGAACATTGATTTATAAACCTTTTTCTAAGAAGTATGTCGGTATTGGAACTATAGATGGCATGGGAGCTAGTAAATGACTGACCAAAGTTGGTCATTTTGGTTCTAAAATTTTTGCAACAATTTATTTACGAATTTAATTTTTAAATATATAATCGATTTCCATAAATGTATTATTAGGCATTTTGTTTTCTAATTCCTTTTATGCCTCCATAAACTTGTGATTCTGTTAGTTTTGCAGATTAGTTTCTCTGCACCTGCAAATACCTATAACTATATCCACAACTCTGCTCATTTCTGTTCAATGTACATATTTATAGTTGGAACAATTTTCCTGATATTTTTCAAACTGTTTGTGCATTTTGTTTTTATTGCTCTTTAACATAAAAATGCATTTTTTCACAGACCTCTTTTACTTTTTCGCAAATTTCAACAAACATACACATACACACAGACATAAGCTAAAGTAACCCAGAAGTTTTAAAAACTATTCCAAATCTTGTTTATAGTGATTATATCCTTTAGATTAGATTTGTAAAGTTAAATAATTTTATTCTTAGGTACAGTACACAAAAAAGATGTAATAGATTATTTATGGACACTTGATGATAGAGTCTACCAAAGAAGATATTTTGCAAAATGAACTATATGAAAGTGATAAAAAAAGGATACACTGACTTCCCTCAAACCTACTGTGTAACTAGCAAGCTCTTACATTTATAAATCCAACACACATTTAAACACTGGCTCAACATGTGCAAATTGCTTGCATTTTTTAATACTTTTGTTGTTGTTGAGCTGGTTGTTGAAAAAAAAAAAAATATTTTTTTTATTCATCAAACCAAGAAACTCCTTAAAAAAATGGAATCCTCTGGCTCTTTTATAAGTTCATTCATACATACAATTTTATTTTCATTTTTCTGTGAACTGTTTTTCTGTTCATAAAAGTTTGCCAATTATTCAAAAAAGAAATATGCATGTATACGAATGTATACATGAATGTGTTGAAAAATACTTGCTGCTACATACCATCATTCCTACGTACAGACTCATACTTAAAACTGCATGCATCACAAACGTTCTTATGTTTTCCAAAAAGGCATATAGCGTTAAAAATATAAAATATTGGCCTTAAAAATGAAATGGGGTGAAAGAAATTGAGTTTTTTTTTACCGAAATAATTCCGTTCGGTTCACATTTTAAGTATGGAATTAATGAGAGCATTCAGGAAGAAAGAAAAATCTACAGTTTTATATTTAAGAAGTCAAGATATAAATAATGTACGTAATTGCACCGTCACGTTGATACAGAGAAAAACAATTAAAAACATTGCGTTTTCTGTGGCATGTTGAATGGAAATTGCAAAAATCTTTCACCTATGAGAAAAGGGCAGAAAGAAAGCCAAGATCAAGAAGGATTACACTGAAGCATTTAATTTAATTATGTTTTTGGGAAGAAAGAGGAAATTAAACGAATTCTCATATATTAAGACAAGAGTCCTATGCCTAGTCTATGTCTAGTCTATGTCTAGTCTATGTCTAGTCTATGTCTAGTCTATGTCTAGTCTATGTCTAGTCTATGTCTAGTCTATGTCTAGTCTATGTCTAGTCTATGTCTAGTCTATGTCTAGTTCTATGTCTAGTCTATGTCTAGTCTATGTCTAGTCTATGTCTAGTCTATGTCTAGTCTATGTCTAGTCTATGTCTAGTCTATGTCTAGTCTATGTCTAGTCTATGTCTAGTCTATGTCTAGTCTATGTCTAGTCTATGTCTAGTCTATGTCTAGTCTATGTCTAGTCTATGTCTAGTCTATGTCCTATTCTAGTCTATGTCTAGTCTATGTCTAGTCTATGTCTAGTCTATGTCTAGTCATGTCTATTATGTCTAGTCTATGTCTAGTCTATGTCTAGTCTATGTCTAGTCTATTAGTCTATGTCTAGTCTATGTCTAGTCTATGTCTAGTCTATGTCTAGTCTATGTCTTAGTCTATGTCTAGTCTATGTCTAGTCTATGCTAGTCTATGTCTAGTCTATGTCTAGTCTATGTCTAGTCTATGTCTAGTCTATTCTAGTCTGTCTAGTCTATGTCTAGTCTATGTCTAGTCTATGTCAGTCTATGTCTAGTCTATGTCTAGTCAGTCTATGTCTAGTCTATGTCTAGTCTAGTCTAGTCTATGTCTAGTCTATGTCTAGTCTATGTCTAGTCTATGTCTAGTCTATGTCTAGTCTATGTCTAGTCTATGTCTAGTCTATGTCTAGTCTATGTCTAGTCTATGTCTAGTCTATGTCTAGTCTATGTCTAGTCTATGTCTAGTCTATGTCTAGTCTATGTCTAGTCTATGTCTAGTCTATGTCTAGTCTATGTCTAGTCTATGTCTAGTCTATGTCTAGTCTATGTCTAGTCTATGTCTAGTCTATGTCTAGTCATATAGTCTAGTCTATGTCTAGTCTATGTCTAGTCCTATGTCTAGTCATGTCTAGTCTATGTCTAGTCTATGTCTAGTCTATGTCTAGTCTATGTCTAGTCTATGTCTAGTCTATGTCTAGTCTATGTCTAGTCTATGTCTAGTCTATGTCTAGTCTATGTCTAGTCTATGTCTAGTCTATGTCTAGTCTATGTCTATGTCTAGTCTAGTCTATCTAGTCTAGTCTATGTGTCTAGTCTATGTCTAGTCTATGTCTATCTAGTCTAGTCTAGTCTATGTCTATCTATGTCGAGTCTATGTCTAGTCTATGTCTAGTCTACTAATGTCTAGTCTATGTCTATTCTAGTCTATGTCTAGTCATGTCTAGTCTCATGTCTATCTGTCTAGTCTATGTCTAGTCTATGTCTAGTCTATCTATGTCTAGTCTATGTCTAGTCTATGTCTAGTCTATGTCTAGTCTATGTCTAGTCTATGTCTAGTCTATGTCTAGTCTATGTCTAGTCTATGTCTAGTCTATGTCTAGTCTATGTCTAGTCTATGTCTAGTCTATGTCTAGTCTATGTCTAGTCTATGTCTAGTCTATGTCTAGTCTATGTCTAGTCTATGTCTAGTCTATGTTAGTCTATGTCTAGTCTATGTCTGGTCTCTATCTTTAAAATTAAGAAATTATTTTTTGCTTTATAGCAAAATCTTAAATTTAAAGACAATTTTTGTCTTTAAATTCCTCTTTTTTTGATTTATCTGTATTGGGAAATGTTTCTTTAACAAAACAAAATTTAATAAACAGGAAACACCAGCCGAAACAAATTTCTGTCTCACCATTATACGTTTTCTGTTTTTTTTTTTTTTTTTTATTCTACAAAAACCTAACGAACACATTTGTTTTCAAACAGACTCATTTGTTGTGTTCATGTTCAGCATTCAACAACATTTTTAGCACACCATTTTTCCTACACCATTGTTACTAAGAAACGCTTCACGAATTCCAAATGTTTCTACATTTAAAACAGGACAAACAAAAGTAACATCGATACGCAGTAAAAAAAAAAACACAACTGAAATCGAACAATCAAATAAAAATCTTATCAAACAAATGAATCAAAAATAGAATGTTACCTGCCCACCCTCCCCAAAACAAGAACAAAAAAGAAACGCGTAACAAATAGCAATTTTAAAAGGATGTAACATTTCTAAACTTCCGCTACAAACTCACACGTACACAAACACATGCAAAAACACAACATCCGTTTTTTATAATATCGATGAATAATGGTATAGTGTCCTAGGATGGGAGCGTGAGTGAGTAGAGCTAAACATAACAAAACAACTAAAATTAGCAAAATGTGATGGATGAATGGTTTGAGTGCCTTGATATTTTACTCTGATATTTACTTAGACAAGAAGGTGGGCAATATTATGTCAAGCAAGGGCCGCAGATTTTTATTAAAGTTTGGATTGGATATATATCAAGTCAGTTTAATATTTATATCATATTTAACTAGTGTATCCTCACTATCAGAATAATCATTAAATAAGAGTAGAAACCTGTTCTTTGGGTTTTATGTACAAAACAACTTAATGCAAAACTTGTTCAGATTGAATTGACATTTCCTAAAGAGCTTTATTGTTCAAAATTATAACATGAAACCCACAACAAAGTATAATCCTCAGGATGCTAACACTTCAGGAATAAATTTCGTAAATAAAAATAAAAATGCATAAACTTGCCCTCTTCCATACAGGTTGCACAAAACATGTTTACAACATTGCAAACAAAATGGTAATAAACAAAATGCACACAAAATACTAACAACTACAACTAACGAACGTAATCATCATCTTCATCATCATGAAGTCCTTTAGGTCAACATCGCTTTGTCTTTAACACACTCTTTTTTCGCATTTTGCAACAAAAAAATTTCATCCTTTTTTCTCGCATACCTACACGTTTTGCGCCTGCAAAAGAGGAACATAAACACTAACAAACAATAAAAGAGAGGAAGAAAAAACTAAAAACATTACAATTCTATTTGTTTAGATGAAATTGTAGTCTTATCTAGCGTTACATTGGAAGCAGCGCATCACTGAAAGGAATTTAAACAACCGTAACACTTTTACCGACTAAAACGAATTGAAACGGTTAGTGCCCAAAGATGAACGAACATAGACTGAAGGCATTACAAGTACATAACAAAATGTACAAGCACAAGTAAATATGCCAGGAATTTTTCTTTTAACATGAAATCATTTCATGGATTAGGTAACCAAAATTCCATAAGGTAGAGCAATAATCCAAGAGTCTGAGTGGTTTCTATGTAAAAAATACAAAATGTGTTTATCATATACCTCCACTGAGTAGAACCAAATTCATTTCGAAATTGACAAAGCAAAATCACAGCAAATATTAAATTGAACCCTAAACATTAAGTAAAAAATGGAACAAAAAATATTCAGTTACACCCACCAGTATTTACAAGTGTTTTCTTTTTATTATCATTTCGTTTCCCCTTTAATCTAAAATTTGCACTTAAATTTTACACTGTTTCCAAAAAGAGTTCATATCCTAACATAGACTAGACATAGACTAGACATAGACTAGACATAGACTAGACATAGACTAGACATAGACTAGACATAGACTAGACATAGACTAGACATAGACTAGACAATAGACTAGACATAACTAGACATAGACTAGACATAGACTAGACATAGACTAGACATAGACTAGACATAGACTAGACATAGACTAGACATAGACTAGACATAGACTAGACATAGACTAGACATAGACTAGACATAGACTAGACATAGACTAGACATAGACTAGACATAGACTAGACATAGACTAGACATAGACTAGACATAGACTAGACATAGACTAGACATAGACTAGACATAGACTAGACATAGACTAGACATAGACTAGACATAGACTAGACATAGACTAGACATAGACTAGACATAGACTAGACATAGACTAGACATAGACTAGACATAGACTAGACATAGACTAGACATAGACTAGACATAGACTAGACATAGACTAGACATAGACTAGACATAGACTAGACATAGACTAGACATAGACTAGACATAGACTAGACATAGACTAGACATAGACTAGACATAGACTAGACATAGACTAGACATAGACTAGACATAGACTAGACATAGACTAGACATAGACTAGACATAGACTAGACATAGACTAGACATAGACTAGACATAGACTAGACATAGACTAGACATAGACTAGACATAGACTAGACATAGACTAGACATAGACTAGACATAGACTAGACATAGACTAGACATAGACTAGACATAGACTAGACATAGACTAGACATAGACTAGACATAGACTAGACATAGACTAGACATAGACTAGACATAGACTAGACATAGACTAGACATAGACTAGACATAGACTAGACATAGACTAGACATAGACTAGACATAGACTAGACATAGACTAGACATAGACTAGACATAGACTAGACATAGACTAGACATAGACTAGACATAGACTAGACATAGACTAGACATAGACTAGACATAGACTAGACATAGACTAGACATAGACTAGACATAGACTAGACATAGACTAGACATAGACTAGACATAGACTAGACTAGACTAGACAGACTAGACATAGACTAGACATAGACTAGACATAGACTAGACATAGACTAGACATAGACTAGACATAGACTAGACATAGACTAGACATAGACTAGACATAGACTAGACATAGACTAGACATAGACTAGACATAGACTAGACATAGACTAGACTAGACTAGACATAGACTAGACATAGACTAGACATAGACTAGACATAGACTAGACATAGACTAGACATAGACTAGACATAGACTAGACATAGACTAGACATAGACTAGACATAGACTAGACATAGACTAGACATAGACTAGACATAGACTAGACATAGACTAGACATAGACTAGACATAGACTAGACATAGACTAGACATAGACTAGACATAGACTAGACATAGACTAGACATAGACTAGACATAGACTAGACATAGACTAGACATAGACTAGACATAGACTAGACATAGACTAGACATAGACTAGACATAGACTAGACATAGACTAGACATAGACTAGACATAGACTAGACATAGACTAGACATAGACTAGACATAGACTAGACATAGACTAGACATAGACTAGACATAGACTAGACATAGACTAGACATAGACTAGACATAGACTAGACATAGACTAACATAGACTAGACGACTAGACTAGACTACATAGACTAGACATAGACTAGACATAGACTAGACATAGACTAGAATAGACTAGACATAGACTAGACATAGACTAGACATAGACTAGACATAGACTAGACATAGACTAGACATAGACTAGACATAGACTAGACATAGACTAGACATAGACTAGACATAGACTAGACATAGACTAGACATAGACTAGACATAGACTAGACATAGACTAGACATAGACTAGACATACTAGAACATAGACTAGACATAGACTAGACATAGACTAGACATAGACTAGACATAGACTAGACATAGACTAGACATAGACTAGACATAGACTAGACATAGACTAGACATAGACTAGACATAGACTAGACATAGACTAGACATAGACTAGACATAGACTAGACATAGACTAGACATACATATTTCGTGATTCTACTGATAATATTGTCATGTTAAACTGAAAACGGTGTAAATATATAAAACTTCCATTAAAAACATTTTTAGCATGGCTTGCAGGTACTTATTCGTTTGTTACTTTACTTTGTTCTATAACTCCATTAATGTTACAAATAAAAAGAAATAACGTAAATATTCCAAAATACAAAAAAAAGAGATAAAAAAATAATAATAAAAATAAAACTCACCTCTAGTACAACCGCCTCCAGGGCTGGTTGTGAAATTTTTTCATAGTCGTATGATTGAGTTTGGGTGCGCTGTCGGCACGATTTCGTCCCAATGATTGATTTGATGTACGGTTATCGGTCTTACTCAGCACCGAATTATTTGAGGATTTGTGATTTATTTCCAATGCCGAACGTAAAATGTCAACTTTGGAGGCGCTGCCAATGCCATGCTTGGGCGAACGTAATGATTCAACATTATAACTGCTGCGACGTATTGATAAATGGTCGTGTATATCGCCCTGGCAAATATAAAATAAACAAAATATTAGCATGAAATTTGCAGAAATAACTGAAGAACATTTTCGCAAACAATTGTTTTAGTTGATGCAAAATCTACTCACCCTTGAACCTCTTGGCAACGATGATAAGCTGCCAATTTGATTGTATTTTATCATTAATGATAAACGTTCCAATGACATTGAGGTGCCTTGTTCTTTAGTTGAGGGTTCTGTAATTTTTCTGTTTCACCAGTTTCGACGGCTTCTACCTCTTCCTCCAAGTCATCCATGTTGTGATCGAATTTACGCAGCCCAAACTAAGTGCAACAGACCGTAAGCAATACCACCCACTACAGCGAGCAGACCCATATAGCGGAAAGCATCCCTGGTGCCAAATTGCCCCGATTAATAGACCACCACTAAAGGAACCACTGCCGCGACCTAGAAGGAATAACAATGTTTTTTTTTTCATAAAGTATTTTTCCTAGAATGCGAAATTTGCTTAGAATCTGTTCCTCAATTTAATTTGAGCCATAAATATGCCGTAATACGTCAATTTAGCGATGTATGTATGTTAGTCTGTGTATATGTTCGTCCATTTACATATGTGTTGTTTCATGCCTTACAATTAACAGAATCCCATTTTTATATCATTCCAACTAGGTTACAAATTTTCCCAAAATAAATTCTTTTGACAACCAATGCAATGTTGCAATTGAAATGTTTTCTTTCAAACAATAAAAATTTGCATAAAAACAATTTTCAGAATTATAATATCGAATGATCGACAGGCAGTAAATAAGAACTAGAAAGGAAAAACCAGGAAGAAAAACCTACAACAGCAATTTTTCCACTTAACATAACTAAGTAGGAAAATTGACAGAAAAATTCATTTCATCTCGAACACATGTGGGTGATGGAAAACCCAAAAATTCAAATGCATACCAAACAGAAACAAATGTTTGAAAGTAAAATGAAAAAATTTTTATATGAATCTCCATAATAAACAAAGACCAAAAAAAGAGTACAACGGTAGCAAAACAACTGCAAATAAAATTTCAAATTTCCAATGTTATAGTAGTATAATTGCACTTACCCAAACTGAAGTGGGCCATACCCAAAACACCAATCAATGTGGCCAAAAGACTTTTGGGAGCCAAAATTGAACAATAAGTGGCAGCTGCCACCCACATCAAGTGGCAAGATAAGGCTTCCATAGCTTCAAACGGAAAACACCACCAAGCATTTCTAAACGAAACCAAATAAAAAAAATCAAAACAGAAAGAAAAAAACAAGGATACAAATGAAAACAAATAAAACCAGGAATTGAATGAATACAAACAAATCACATACAATTATCAGGAAAATAATGAAAATGGTAAAATGGTGAAATAAACAAATAATACCTTAAGACACAAGCTAAACTCAGGAAACGGACATAACTACTTATACTTATCAACATCAACATATACATTTACATCGACAATTCAGCAAATATTAATCTTGTATTTGTTTATGTGCGTAGACATATATATGGGTGTATGTTTTACAATTTTTTCCAAATGTTTATTTGTTTTCGTATGTATTTACTTATCCTTGTACTGAAGTGTATATATATTTGTATATTACTGTACTTACTCAATAAACGAATAGCCCACCAAACGACCAGCATGTGAAAAGAAAGCAATAATAATCAAATTAACATGACCAAAGATTCTGGTAATTTTCTCAGCTCCGTATAAAAACGGTATACTGCTCACGGTGCCCACAGTAATTGTAATGCCTATACGATGGAAAGAAAATACAAAAAATTATTGGAGTACGAACAAAATAGGGAAAATCAAACTACAAACATTGATTAAATTTGGCAGGTTACTTAAGACCTGTTTAGGCATGCATACATGTAAACAGTGGGAAAGCTACTTCAGTTCAGTTCTAGTTCAGTTCTAGTTCAGTTCTAGTTCAGTTCTACTTCAGTTCTAGTTCAGTTCTAGTTCAGTTCTAGATCAGTTCTAGTTCAGTTCTAGTTCAGTTCTAGTTCAGTTCTATTTCAGTTCTAGTTCAGTTCTATTTCAGTTCTAGTTCAGTTCTAGTTCAGTTCTAGTTCAGTTCTAGTTCAGTTTCTAGTTCAGTTCTAGTTCAGTTCTAGTTCAGTTCTAGTTCAGTTCTAGTTCAGTTCTAGTTCAGTTCTAGTTCAGTTCTAGTTCAGTTCTAGTTCAGTTCTAGTTCAGTTCTAGTTCAGTTCTAGTTCAGTTCTAGTCCAGTTCTAGTTCAGTTCTAGTTCAGTTCTAGTTCAGTTCTAGTTCAGTTCTAGTTCAGTTCTAGTTCAGTTCTAGTTCAGTTCTAGTTCAGTTCTAGTTCAGTTCTAGTTCAGTTCTAGTTCAGTTCTAGTTCAGTTCTAGTTCAGTTCTAGTTCAGTTCTAGTTCAGTTCTAGTTCAGTTCTAGTTCAGTTCTAGTTCAGTTCTAGTTCAGTTCTAGTTCAGTTCTAGTTCAGTTCTAGTTCAGTTCTAGATCAGTTTTTCAGTTCTAGTTCAGTTCTAGTTCAGTTCTAGTCAGTTTTAGTTCAGTTCTAGTTCAGTTCTAGTTCAGTTCTAGTTCAGTTTTAGTTCAGTTTTAGTTCAGTTCTAGTTCAGTTCTAGTTCAGTTCTAGTTCAGTTCTAGTTCAGTTCTAGTTCAGTTCTAGTTCAGTTCTAGTTCAGTTCTAGTTCAGTTCTAGTTCAGTTCTAGTTCAGTTCTAGTTCAGTTCTAGTTCAGTTCTAGTTCAGTTCTAGTTCAGTTCTAGTTCAGTTCTAGTTCAGTTCTAGTTCAGTTCTAGTTCAGTTCTAGTTTCAGTTCTAGTTCAGTTCTAGTTTCAGTTCTAGTTCACTTCTAGTTCAGTTCTAGTTCAGTTTTTAGTTCAGTTCTAGTTCAGTTCTAGTTCAGTTCTAGTTCAGTTCTAGTTCAGTTCTAGTTCAGTTCTAGTTCAGTTCTAGTTCAGTTCTAGTACAGTTCTAGTACAGTTCTAGTTCAGTTCTAGTTCAGTTCTAGTTCAGTTCAGTTAGTTCAGTTCTAGTTCAGTTCTAGTTCAGTTCTAGTTCAGTTCTAGTTCAGTTCTAGTTCATTCTAGTTCAGTTCTAGTTCAGTTCTAGTTCAGTTCTAGTTCAGTTCTAGTTCAGTTCTAGTTCAGTTCTAGTTCAGTTCTAGTTCAGTTCTAGTTCAGTTCTAGTTCAGTTCTAGTTCAGTTCTAGTTCAGTTCTAGTTCAGTTCTAGTTCAGTTCTAGTTCAGTTCTAGTTCAGTTCTAGTTCAGTTCTAGTTCAGTTCTAGTTCAGTTCTAGTTCAGTTCTAGTTCAGTTCTAGTTCAGTTCTAGTTCAGTTCTAGTTCAGTTCTAGTTCAGTTCTAGTTCAGTTCTAGTTCAGTTCTAGTTCAGTTCTAGTTCAGTTCTAGTTCAGTTCTAGTTCAGTTCTAGTTCAGTTCTAGTTCAGTTCTAGTTCAGTTCTAGTTCAGTTCTAGTTCAGTTCTAGTTCAGTTCTAGTTCAGTTCTAGTTCAGTTCTAGTTCAGTTCTAGTTCAGTTCTAGTTCTAGTTCAGTTCTAGTTCAGTTCTAGTTCTAGTTCAGTTCTAGTTCAGTTCTAGTTCAGTTCTAGTTCAGTTCTAGTTCAGTTCTAGTTCAGTTCTAGTTCAGTTCTAGTTCAGTTCTAGTTCAGTTCTAGTTCAGTTCTAGTTCAGTTCTAGTTCAGTTCTAGTTCAGTTCTAGTTCAGTTCTAGTTCAGTTCTAGTTCAGTTCTAGTTCAGTTCTAGTTCAGTTCTAGTTCAGTTCTAGTTCAGTTCTAGTTCAGTTCTAGTTTAGTTCTAGTTCAGTTCTAGTTCAGTTCTAGTTCAGTTCTAGTTCAGTTCTAGTTCAGTTCTAGTTCAGTTCTAGTTCAGTTCTAGTTCAGTTCTAGTTCAGTTCTAGTTCAGTTCTAGTTCAGTTCTAGTTCAGTTCTAGTTCAGTTCTAGTTCAGTTCTAGTTCAGTTCTAGTTCAGTTCTAGTTCAGTTCTAGTTCAGTTCTAGTTCAGTTCTAGTTCAGTTCTAGCTCTGAAGAAAATTTCCACAAAAATATTTACAAAATACTTTTAGTGAATCCACATAAAATTTGCGTTAAAAAATATAATTAAAAACAGATTTAACAAAATATATTTCTCTTATCCCACTGTTACACACATCAGCATTCTGATATCCCTCAAAACGTATAAAGTAATTTGTATAAATTTTCTATTATTTTTTTATGGATTTGCAACACATACTTACGCACTTATTTGTTTATCTTACTTACCCAATAAATAATTTGGTGCTCCCAATTCTTTCAAATACAAAAACAAGAAACTCTCAATGAAACCCCAGAAATTGCCCAATATGAACAAGAAGAAGATAAATGTAATTACATGCGGCATTTTCAATAAATTCCATAAATCCCTAAAGACATTATCGGCCGGCAGTTTTTCGCCCAACGGCATCATCAGCACCGACACTGTCGAAATAATTAAGAGAATATCATACGTATAGAAGGCAGCCGAGTAATCGGTGTAGCCAAGGCCGCGTGAAAAATAATCAATCATGATGCCAGTAATGGGTGAGAAGATGGCCATGCCAATGCTGGAGAAAAGACGTTCACGTCCAAAATCACCACCATACTTTTCAATCATTGTCAGGGCAATAGGATCCATAATAGTGACACCAGCCGATAACATGGTAGTGGCAAGGAATCTAGAGACATGCAAATGGTAAAAAAGAAAATAAAACAAAGATGTAAAAAATTAACAAAATTAATAAATCATTAAAGATTTTAGACATAAAACAAAATTGAAATAACACAGTAATAATGATTAATAAACAAAATTTTATTTAGAACAAAAAACATACGCAGCATTAAAGCTGCCAACCGTAAAATGATGTCATTTTATGGATATGTATAAATATGTGTTTCACAAGTAATAAGAGCAAATAAAAGCCACAAATCATTTTCATCACCATTCACTCATCATCATCATCGCCACTTTACAGTATTATTTTCAGTTCAAATGTCTAGTGTTTATGTCATCTCATCATCATCATCTTCATCATGTTCAACAAGAAGAGCGTCTTCGTCTTTCTGTTTTTTGTCAGTGGTAGGAAAAACACACATACTCCTCCCTTCAACACCATTTTCATCATCTTAATCATTTTCAACAATTGTCCTTCTAATGTCAAATTGCTTGTGTTGTGTTGCTTCCAGTTCAAATGCCAACTTCATGCGTTTGATATCAAGTGCTTTTCATTAATTTTCTTCTTTTATTCTTCATTTTCTACATTTATTTATTTGGGTGACACTCAAATTATAATTATTTAATTATCAGACATGACAACAACAAAGAATTTGTATTAAGAAGAAAAACGAAAATAAATTAATAGTGTTATTATAAAACAAAAGTTAATTAATTAAGCCAATGATATCAAAGTATCAACAATTTTCTTTTCAAATACAAATTAATAATATTTCGCTTTTTTCGAAGAGCGTCAAAATGTATTCAATTAAAAAAATGTTTATTCTTTTGATATTCAACTTAAATGCTTTTATTTTTTTAATGATGCCTATTGTTATTCAAAGGAGATTTACAAGCATTTAAGGCGATTGTATTATTTTACCACTTTTTGTTTAGTAATTTTAAACAAATTTTTGTACAATCAACACTACATTGGAAACAAGAACTGAACTAAAACTGAACTAGAACTGAACTAGAACTGAACTAGAACTGAACTAGAACTGAACTAGAACTGAACTAGAACTGAACTAGAACTGAACTAGAACTGAACTAGAACTGAACTAGAACTGAACTAGAACTGAACTAGAACTGAACTAGAACTGAACTAGAACTGAACTAGAACTGAACTAGAACTGAACTAGAACTGAACTAGAACTGAACTAGAACTGAACTAGAACTGAACTAGAAACTGAACTAGAACTGAACTAGAACTGAACTAGAACTGAACTAGAACTGAACTAGAACTGAACTAGAACTGAACTAGAACTGAACTAGAACTGAACTAGAACTGAACTAGAACTGAACTAGAACTGAACTAGAAACTGAACTAGAAACTGAACTAGACTGAAACTAGAACTGAACTAGAACTGAACTAGAACTCAACTAGAACTCAACTAGAACTCAACTAGAACTGAACTGAACTAAACTAGAACTGAACTAGAACTGAACTAGAACTGAACTAGAACTGAACTAGAACTGAACTAGAACTGAACTAGAAGACTGAACTAGAACTGAACTAGAACTGAACTAGAACTGAACTAGAACTGAACTAGAACTGAACTAGAAACTGAACTAGAACTGAACTAGAACTGAACTAGAACTGAACTAGAACTGAACTTAGAACGTGAACTAGAACTTTAACTAGAATGAACTAGAACTGAACTAGACCTGACCTAGAACTGAACTAGAACTGAACTAGAGACTGAACTAGAACTGAACTAGAACTGAACTAGAACTGAACTAGAACTTGAACTAGAACTTGAATAGAACTGAACTAGAACTGAACTAGAACTGAACTAGAACTTGAACTGAACTAGAACTGAACTAGAACTGAACTAGAACTGAACTAGAAACTGACTAGAACTGAACTAGAACTGAACTAGAACTGAACTAGAACTGAACTAGAACTGAACTAGAACTGAACTAGAACCGAACTAGAACTGAACTAGAAATAACCTATAACTGAACTCTTAGTAAAAACTGCACTATGAAATGCCCAAATTTTGGAGTATATGCTGAGAAACAAACTTTTCAAATGAAAATGGAATTCACAAACACATTTTAATACATTTGTATATTTCTTCAAATATTTATTTATTCCCAAATCAATAACAACAACAAAAATCTTAAAAAATCTTCAACCTGAATGAAACACCTATATACATACAAAAACTACTACATATAACAGCAGTTTCAATAGTTCACTGAAATTCACAATATCCAGCCATGATTGCAAAGAACAAACTCAATAGAGAGAGTGAAAAGAAAAACATACAAATTGTATAAAGTCACATCAAATGTCAAAGTATACAATGTATGTTCAAATTACACAGATTCTAATACTCACATAAATACACAGCATGTCACAGGAAAACATACACAAACAAATCTAGCTATTGCGAATCCTTTATTATACTCGAATAACAGTTGCATGAAATTTAAATCTACTAACCTAACCTGATATGCTGTTCCTTCTTTCCATTTAAGCACACAAATACAATACTAATGCACACAATGTCCATTTAAGGTACAAGTCTGCATTAGTGTTACACAATCAACCAGCATCAAAAGTCAATAAATGTCAGACGCTGCAATACCTAACAACCAAACAGCCAAACCAACCAACCAACCATCCAACACGTCAACTAACTTACCTCAACATAAAGTAAATCCAAAATATTGTATCATCAGTTTCCTTATAATCAGGTGGACAAATTTCTGGTGCATTTAATGTGAACGTACAACGTTGCACCATACAGGTCACCGTTTCATTTGAGACACGTGACATGTTATGTCGTCTGGCTATGCCACCGCAACGTAAATCCAATTCCTCTAAATCGGTGACATTGATTTGCATTTCCCAAAGACGTTTCTCACCGAAACGTTGTTTAAAATCTGTTACCGTCTCATTGTCATCCTGTTCGATTTCCATGCCCAACTGTTCGATGGGATCGGCTAGATCAGGATGCATTTGTAGCATAAAGTAGGTCGAATCACTAGCATTCGAATGAACCCAACTGTAGGTGGTAGGTGCTGTAATATTTTCCATGTCCAATGATTCAGCTTGAAACAAAAAGAGAAAAGAAAATGGGAAGAAACAGTATTAGTTGAATAGAAATTGAAAATGTTTGTTAGTAATTTGGAAAGCAATTATGTTCGAATGATACATTTTGTTTGTAAAATTTAAGTTATATTAATGCCTATTATAGCGTCCTATTTTGTTTTTATTTTAATTTTTTAATACTATTATGATGACGTTGCAAACATTCAACTTTCAAGTGTCAACAACTTTAGTTGACATTGTAGTCTGTATTTATTTTGACCACAACAATCTTGGTATTAAGAATAAGTATATATAATAGAAGCATATAAAAAGTAAGTATGTACTATATTATTCAAGCATCACTGAACAGCTATTATAAAAAAACAAAAATTGCAAAAAATATTACCAAAAATAATTGAAATTTAAAAATGTAAAATTTTATGATTTTTCACTAAAAAATTTAATTTTTTTAATTCAAATCAAAATTTTCATTAAAAATCCACTTTCTGACTAAAAATTCATTCATAGACTTTTTACGTATAAGTATTATAGAACTCCTACAAAATTCCATATTACTCATTCGCAAGCTCATCATTTATGTAAGAACATATTACAAGGTATTAGAAAAATTTAAAAAAATATATGTATATCTTTACTAGCATACGATGTCGTAAACAAATTTTAAATTGTTCTGATTTTATATTAAATTTCTATTCAAAAATAACCTCAGCTGTTTAAACTTAACTTTAAATCCTCACAAATAACTAAAAAAACTTTTAATAAAACTAAAAATTAAATTATATATATGATCGCACATTATGACTAACAATATCTCGACTACAACACCCAACACATATTCACTGCCAACGAATTCCTCTTGAAGCAAAACAACTCGAAATCATGTTGAAACAATCAAAATGTTGATGTTTCATTAATTTCGCAATCTATATTTATAACTAACACACACACTCCTTTTCTCAATGACATTTTGACATAATGACAAAAACAGCATAGACCAATAACCGTCCTATATGCATTTAAGTAGTTAGTAGAAGGGAACAGAGCTATCCACTCAACCAGTCAGTCATCCGAACAGCCACACAATTGAGTGTAATAAAATCATAATCAAATAGTAATTCATTAAAACACATTTCCACTGCTACTGCTGATCTTAGGGCAACAGTATGGGAAGAGCTTTATAGAAATATGAGTACCATCAATATAAATATTGAATGTTATGAGTAAGGGTTGTCAAAGGAAAATTTAGAGGGGATTTAAATTTAGTGCAATTCTAGTCCAGTTCCAGTTTAGTTCTAGTTCAGTTCTAGTTCAGCTCTAGGTTCAGTTTAGTTCAGTTCTAGTTCAGTTCTAGTTCAGTTCTAGTTGAGTTCTAGTTCAGTTCTAGTTCAGTTCTAGTTCAGTTCTAGTTCAGTTCTAGTTCAGTTCTAGTTCAGTTCTAGTTCAGTTCTAGTTCAGTTCTAGTTCAGTTCTAGTTCAGTTCTAGTTCAGTTCTAGTTCAGTCTAGTTCAGTTCTAGTTCAGTTCTAGTTCAGTTCTAGTTCAGTTCTAGTTCAGTTCTAGTTCAGCTTGTTCAGTTCTAGTTCAGCTCTAGTTTAGTTCTAGTTTAGTTCTAGTTCAGTTCTAGTTCAGTTCTAGTTCAGTTCTAGTTCAGTTCTAGTTCAGTTCTAGTTCAGTTATAGTTCAGTTCTAGTTCAGTTCTAGTTCAGTTCTAGTTCAGTTCTAGTTCAGTTCTAGTTCAGTTCTAGTTCAGTTCTAGTTCAGTTCTAGTTCAGTTCTAGTTCAGTTCTAGTTCAGTTCTAGTTCAGTTCTAGTCAGTTCTAGTTCTAGTTCAGTTCTAGTTCAGTTCTAGTTCAGTTCTAGTTCAGTTCTAGTTCAGTTCTAGTTCAGTTCTAGTTCAGTTCTAGTTCAGTTCTAGTTCAGTTCTAGTTCAGTTCTAGTTCAGTTCTAGTTCAGTTCTAGTTCAGTTCTAGTTCAGTTCTAGTTCAGTTCTAGTTCAGTTCTAGTTCAGTTCTAGTTCAGTTCTAGTTCAGTCTAATTCAGTTCTAGTTCAGTTCTAGTTCAGTTCTAGTTCAGTTCTAGTTCAGTTCTAGTTCAGTTCTAGTTCAGTTCTAGTTCAGTTCTAGTTCAGTTCTAGTTCAGTTCTAGTTCAGTTCTAGTTCAGTTCTAGTTCAGTTCTAGTTCAGTTCTAGTTCAGTTCTAGTTCAGTTCTAGTTCAGTTCTAGTTCAGTTCTAGTTCAGTTCTAGTTCAGTTCTAGTTCAGTTCTAGTTCAGTTCTAGTTCAGTTCTAGTTCAGTTCTAGTTCAGTTCTAGTTAGTTCTAGTTCAGTTCATGTTGAGTTTAAGACTAATAATTCTTTCTTAAAGTTCTTCTGATAACGGACATTTTCGTTTATATCAGGTTTCCTGGCAACCCTTAGAAACAGCTTTGAGTCATAGAGGAGGACATATAAGCAAAAAATCACAAAATCCCAGCCAATATTAAACCAACAGCATAGCTATTAAACTGATAACTTTAATAATAACTTTGTACTATTTGACAGCTGGTAGAAAATAAAATGAAGTGCAAACGAAAAATACCAAACGAACCTCAAATAAAATCAAAATAAATCCACCCCAAACACCCATTTTTGCAATCATTTCTTCTACTGACAACAACTTACAAGAAATAAAAGTACTTACGATTCCAATCTTGCTGTTCTAACATAGACATTGAGGATAAAGATGTCACTACGGGCGGGAACATTGTCGCTGACATATTAAGTACATCTTGGAATATACTTCTAGTTGTTGGTGTTGGTGTTTGTATTGCTGCGCCATCGGCTATGCCCAATGGCTGTGATGTTGTACTCGTTGGGAATTCTGCTGCTGGTGATGAGGATGGTAATGCTACTGCTGATGTTGCTAGAAATGGCTTAGAAGTTGTGTTGTTGTTTCTTGAGTTGTTTGTATTGCTATTTTGTCGGTTACCGCATAATACTCTGTTGATGGACTGAATAATGTTGAGGCTGTAGTTGTAGTAGTTGCTGATTCTTGCAACAAACAATAATCAACACATTGATTTACAGCCAATTCAAGTTCAGGTTCTTCAGGGCATTCACGACTGGGACAGGGTGACCACCAGACCTAGAAGGGAAAAAGAGAGGAAACGGGTAAAGTTGTTGACTTTAATAATAATCATTAAAATAATATTGGCTTCTGCTATGTCAGTCATAGTTTAACATGTAGAAATAAAATGTAAAGAGTTACTGCGACAAAAGTTGCTGACAACTTTTACTTTTTGTTGTATTTTTTTCTTTGGAAGAATAGTTTGAGAAATTGTAGATAAAAACATGTTATTTTTAGTTAGAAAGAATCTTGTGAACCCTATAGGGAATGTAGACATATTTTATAAGGATTTTGAGTACATTTTTTATCTTTTTATCCATTATGTCCATTGATAAACAAAAGTTAAAAATTTTGGTAATACTGGACGTATGATTAATATTAATTTAAAAAGTTGCTCATAACTTTGGTAATTGCTAAAAGATTTTTAAAATGTTTACAGCCAACAAAGGTAAATATGATATTAGAAACTTTTCATTTAAAAAAATTAAATAAATTTTATTAAAGAAAATTGTTATAAATGTTGTATTGCTCTTTATTTCTGATAGCGCATTACAAGTGTAATATTATTAGTTGCTGTCCCTTAGAACAACGAAACTTAAATAAAATATTTACTTGTTCTCTAACAAACAAGCTCTATTTTTGCTACAAAATAATAATAATAAAAAAATAGCAAAGTTACAAGTTATACTTATGGTAACTATTAGTTTTCTTTGGTCCCTATTTAGTAACAAGAAACTTAATACTATTTATATATTTATCAATAAAACTTTTTAATAGTTGTCAAGTACGATTTAATGTCAGTTACCAAGTTAATGATAGAAATTGGTTACAATGTGTATGAAACATATTGATAAATAAAATAATGCTGTTTGCGATGAAAAGTAATTAGGAAGGGAAGGGGGGCAAGAAAGGCTGATAACTTATGATATAGCAGAAAATCATTAGCAAAACATTCAATATAATATGATTTAATAATTATATTAAAATAATTAGACGTATGATTAATATTAATTTGAAGGTCAATTTGTAAAATGGTAAATTTGGTCTATTAGAAAATCTATGACAACTAATATCTTTCACTCTATTTAGCTGTTTGGTCACAGAGAACTACCACGACAGATAGAGATTTATTTTAAATGTTCTCACTATTGAGATATTTTCTTTAAAATTCTTTTATTACTCAGCTCAGCATCACATCTATAGCATGTAGCCGTAAGAAAACGCAGGAGGTCATTAAGTTTTGACTCAGATATCTCACGAAGATTGAATATGAAGAAATTGCCAAGGAAATAGTATCTCTTAGCGGCTAGAGTAGAAGCGCAGCCCAAGCCGACTTGCATGCCTACCTAGCACACAGTGTCCAGTTATTACTGCTATGTGAATTTTGCAAAGTATTTCCAATTTGAAATTTTTTTAAATTTGAAAGCTAGTTGGTCTGCTATAAAATCTGTTTATTTGGTCCTCTTTAACTGTTTGGCCTCAAAGAACTAGCACGACAGCTGGACAGTTATTTTGAAATTTTCGCACTATTGAGGCAATTTCGTTAGTTAGTTAGTTAGTAGTTAGTTAGTTAGTTAGTTAGTTAGTTAGTTAGTTAGTTAGTTAGTTAGTTAGTTAGTTAGTAGTTAGTTAGTTAGTTAGTTAGTTAGTTAGTAGTTAGTTAGTAGTTAGTTAGTTAGTTAGTTAGTTAGTTAGTTAGTTAGTTAGTTAGTTAGTTAGTTAGTTAGTTAGTTAGTTAGTTAGTTAGTTAGTTAGTTAGTTAGTTAGTTAGTTAGTTAGTTAGTTAGTAGTTAGTTAGTTAGTTAGTTAGTTAGTTAGTTAGTTAGTTAGTTAGTTAGTTAGTTAGTAGTTAGTTAGTTAGTTAGTTAGTTAGTTAGTTAGTTAGTTAGTTAGTAGTTAGTTAGTTAGTTAGTTAGTTAGTTAGTTAGTTAGTTAGTTAGTTAGTTAGTTAGTTAGTAGTTAGTTAGTTAGTTAGTTAGTTAGTTAGTTAGTTAGTAGTTAGTTAGTTAGTTAGTTAGTTAGTTAGTTAGTTAGTTAGTTAGTTAGTTAGTTAGTTAGTAGTTAGTTAGTTAGTTAGTTAGTTAGTTAGTTAGTTAGTTAGTTAGTTAGTTAGTTAGTTAGTTAGTTAGTTAGTTAGTTAGTTAGTTAGTTAGTTAGTTAGTTAGTTAGTTAGTTAGTTAGTTAGTTAGTTAGTTAGTAGTAGTTAGTTAGTTAGTTAGTTAGTTAGTTAGTTAGTTAGTTAGTTAGTTAGTTAGTTAGTAGTTAGTTAGTTAGTTAGTTAGTTAGTTAGTTAGTTAGTTAGTTAGTTAGTTAGTTAGTTAGTTAGTTAGTTAGTTAGTTAGTTAGTTAGTTAGTTAGTTAGTTAGTAGTTAGTTAGTTAGTTAGTTAGTTAGTTAGTTAGTTAGTTAGTTAGTTAGTTAGTTAGTTAGTTAGTTAGTTAGTTAGTTAGTTAGTAGTTAGTTAGTTAGTTAGTTAGTTAGTTAGTAGTTAGTTAGTTAGTTAGTTAGTTAGTTAGTTAGTTAGTTAGTTAGTTAGTAGTTAGTTAGTTAGTTAGTTAGTAGTTAGTTAGTTAGTTAGTTAGTTAGTTAGTTAGTTAGTTAGTTAGTAGTTAGTTAGTTAGTTAGTTAGTTAGTTAGTTAGTTAGTAGTTAGTTAGTTAGTTAGTTAGTTAGTTAGTTAGTTAGTTAGTTAGTTAGTTAGTTAGTTAGTTAGTTAGTTAGTTAGTTAGTTAGTTAGTTAGTTAGTTAGTTAGTTAGTTAGTTAGTTAGTTAGTTAGTTAGTTAGTTAGTTAGTTAGTTAGTAGTTAGTTAGTTAGTTAGTTAGTTAGTTAGTTAGTTAGTTAGTTAGTTAGTTAGTTAGTTAGTTAGTTAGTTAGTTAGTTAGTTAGTTAGTTAGTTAGTTAGTTAGTTAGTTAGTTAGTAGTTAGTTAGTTAGTTAGTTAGTTAGTTAGTTAGTTAGTTAGTAGTTAGTTAGTTAGTTAGTTAGTTAGTTAGTTAGTAGTTAGTTAGTTAGTTAGTTAGTTAGTTAGTTAGTTAGTAGTTAGTTAGTTAGTTAGTAATGTAATACGAGATGTATACTTAATAGCAATTGTAATAATAACTTTTTTAAACTGGCTTTCAGATGACACTAAAACTATTTAGATCCCTTCATAACTAGCATGGTTATGAAGAAAATAACATTTATTGTCATACTAGACGTATGATTAATATTACTAAAAATTAATTTTAAAAATCTCCTATAACAACTATAAAGTTATAGCTCAGTGTATAAGCTTTCAAATGACTCTAAAATTGTTTAGATCTGTCCATAATTGACGTAGTTATAAAGAAAATTATATTCACGGTAATACTAGACGTATGATTAATATTAATTTGTATGTTTGTTTAGAAAATAACATTAATCTTTGCAATTGCTAAAAGATTTTCAAAATTAAGGCATTGTATAATAGCCGGGCATATACTGCAATAATTTTTATTATCAAACAGTAGAATAATAGATTTTATTTGCCATTTTTTTAATTTTTAAAATTATTTTGAAAACCTTGAATCATTTAACTGTTTAATTTATTTATACTAAAACAATAATTCAGTGTGTTAGATTTCAAAACTCTTTCAAAATATAAATATATCTTTATAATTACCTGCTAGACCTACTAGACGTATGATTAATATTAAATTAAAGGTTCATGTTAAAAACTTTCTATAACTTCGAGACGTGTTAAATGATTTACAAAATTCAAACAGCATATGAGGCACAAGACTTAAACAAAATAAATACTTTAAAATTTCCTATAAATTTAACGCCCTAATTCAAAATCCAAATAAAATTTGGTTAAAGCTAAAGAAAACTATTCATTTACACAATTTCCTTAATAACTTTGAATACATACAACTCTAAAGATAATTTGTACATATTTTGTATAAAATTTATTAATAATATTTATCTTAAACTGTGGTTTTCTAACAACATTTAACATTGTTTATTATTAATAAAACAAATTAATAACCTAATAATTCATGTTTAAGAAAACAACTACAATTTTGTGGTTAGTTTCGAAAGATAATTTAATAGACTTGTAAACAAATTAAAGACACTACTATAATTAAGTTTAATTTATTAAACAAACTAACACTTACGCAAAAGTTACAACAAATTAAAAGCAATTATGAGACAGCAAATCTTAAGTTAAAACAAAAACACGCTAAACTACCATAAAATCATTACGAAGTAAGGAAGGAAGGAAAATACCATAACAAAAGCCACAAAACTTCTTCATTTGTCTCTAGACCAAAAACTATCTTCAATACCAATGTTTATTTAAGACACTTTACATTAATATGTTAAACATTTATATAATAATATTATTTCCACTTCAATACAATAAATTAATTTTAAACATTGCCACTACATTAAACTTAACTACTAACTACACTCACTTTAAATGGGCAACTATTGTGTGCAAAAAAGGAACCTAACATTATTAAAACATTAAAAACTCAAATTACTATATAAATGATGTAAAACAAGAAAATGAAGAAAATAAGTAAAGAATGCAGACAATAGTACGAAAGAGCCACAATGAAAATCAAGGAGCTGCTAAAGGATATTGAAAAAGCAAAACCCTTGATTAACCAAAAGTAGTAAAGAGAAGAAAAAAACTAAATAAAAACCAGCAAATTACAGCGAACAATAGTTGTAGTTAGTCTCTAGGATATTGTAGTTATGCTGTAAAGAGAAATATAAAAATAAAATATTTTCTACATAGAAGTTATATCCTTCTGAAGGACTTTCTTGTATGCATATTTAAATAGAATGGAATATGTTATACACACACACATACAAAGTGCAAGTAGATATTTGTACAAAATCACATACTGTAAAGCACTTTCCCTTTAAACAGTGGGAAAGGATTGAACTTGATCCTCAATAATATATACTTAAGTATTAAATTCTGTATAATCCGTTAAAAAATAACTTTAGTACTTTTTACAGCATTCATTTGACATCAAAATTGTAAAA